GCCTCCTGAATGCTGAGATTACAAGCATGCACCACCACACCCAGCTCTAAGAAGAAAATTTCATAGCTATAAGTATCTACATTTAAAAATCAGAGAGATCTTAGACAACCTAATGATACAACCCAAGGTCTTAGATAAACAAGAACAAACCAAAACAAAAACCAACAGAAGGAAAAATATAATAAATATCAGAGCTGAAATTAATGAGATAGGAACTAAAAGAACAATACACAAGATCAATAAAACAAAGGATTGGTTTTTCAAAAAGATAAAACAAGATTGATAAACCCTTAGCCAAACTAACCAAAAGAGCAAGAATATCCAAATCAAGACAATTAGGGATAAAAAGGGGGATGTTATGACAGACACCACTGCTTTGAAAACATATATTCCAATAAATTGGAGACTCTAGAAGAAATTAATAAATTTCTAGACACATATGACCTACCAAAGCTGAACCAAAAAGATATGAAAACCTACTCAGATCAATAACAACCAACAAAACTGATGTAATAAAAAGTCTCTGAACAAAGAAAAGCCCAGGACCAGAAGGTTCACTGCCAAATCCTACCAGCCCTTTAAGACCCTCATGCCAAGGCCCCTCAGACTATTCTATGAAACAGAAAGGAAAGAATGAGTCCAAACTCATTCTGCAAGGCCAGTACAACCCTAACACCAGATGCAGAAAATTATAGGCCTGTATGCTCGATGAATATAAATGCAAAAATCCTTAACAAAATACTCACAAACCAAATTCAACAACACATTGAAGAGATGATGTACCATGATTAAGTGACTTTTCTTCCAGGAATGCAAGAATGGTGCAACATACACAAATCAACAAACATAATACTCCACATAAATAGAATCAAGGATAAAAAAAACCACAATTATCTCAATTGATGCATAAAAAACTTTTAGACAAAATTCACCCTCCCTTATGACAAAAGCCCTGAAGAAACCAGGAATTAAAAGATCATATTTCAATATAGTACAGGCCAAAATGCGCAGCTGGCATCTTTCTGAATGGGGAAAAACTAAAGTATTTTCTCTAAAACCAGAAACAGGGCAAGGGTGTACACTCTCACCACTTCTAGTCAATGCAGCACTTGAAATTTTAGCTTAAGCAATTAGGCAAGAGAAATAAATAAATGGATGCAAATACGAAAGGAAGTGGTCAAGTGTTCCTTGTCTGCAGACAACATGACCCCGTGCTTAGAAGGCACCACCGAAAGATTTTACGCTTAATTAGTTCAGCAGAGTAGCAGAATATAAAAGCAACATCAAAAAACCCGAGCTTTTCTACACACCAGTAATGTTTTCAATTAGCAATAACTGCCCCTTGGATAACCTCACTGGCTAAAATGATGCCCCTGTGCAAAGCTTCTATACACCAAATAGTGGAGTAGCCAAGAAAAAAATCAGACAAATGATTTCATTTACAATAGGTTCAAAAAAATACCTAGGGAACAATATAATCAAGGTGGTAAAAGACCTCTCTACAATGACAATTTTAGAACACCAAAGAAATAAGAAGGCAATAGAAAGTGGAAAGACCTCTTCTGTTTGTGCATCAGAAGAGTTAATATTGTTAAAATGGCCACATCACCAAAAGTGATCCACATATTCAATGCAATCCCTGTCAAAATACCAATGACATTCCTCACAAATCAGAAAAAAATCCTAAAATTCATATGGAAACAAGAAAGACCTAGAATAGTCAAAATAATTCTTAGTATAAAGAACAAGGCTGGACACCACAATACCCAATTTCAAATTCTAGCTGGGCCTGGTGGCACACACCAGCACTTGGGAGGCTGAGGCAGGAGGATCACTATGAGTTCAAGGCCAGCCTGGGCTACATAGAGAGTTCAAGGCCAGCCTGAACTACATAGTGAGACCCTGTCTCAAAAAAAACCAAAAAACTACAAAGCCATCATAACAAACACTGGATGGTATTGATACAAAAACAGACCCTAGAGCAGTGGAGCAGAGCAGACAACACAGAACCACAGCCTTGAAACTACGATCATCTGATTCTCTCAAAGGTGCCAAAAATACATGCTGGAGAAAAGACAGCCTCTTTAATAAACACTGCAGGGAAACTGGGTATCCATTTGTAGAAGGTTAAAAATTGGGTCCCAGTCTCTCACCCTGTACAAAAATCAATTAAAAATGGGTCAAAGACCTCGACATAAGCCCTGAGACTGTGAAACTATTAAGATGAAACAGGAAAACACTTGGAGCGGTAGACAGAGGCAAAGAATTCCTAAATGGGACTGAACAGCACAGAAAATACCAAGAATCAACAAATGGACCCAGGGGCTGGGGATTTAGCTCAGTGGCACAGCACCTGCCTTGCAAGCGCAAGCTCGTGAGTTCAATTCCTGGTACTGGAAGAAAAACAAAAACAAACAAAAAAAACAAATGGACCCACATGGAAAATAAAACTTTCTGCACAGCAGGAAAACGACAGAGTGAAGAAGCTCCCTCCATAATAGGAGAAAACCTTTGTCAGCTACTCTTCTGACAAAGGATTAACCTAGAATATATAAAAAACTCAAGAGGTTAATGCCCAGGGGCTGGGGATTTAGCTCAGCGGCAAAGCGCCTGCCTGGCAAGCGCAAGGTCGTGAGTTCGGTTCCTGATACCAGAGAAAAACCAAAATCAAAAAAAAAGAGCTTAATGCCCAAAAGCCAAATACCCCAATCAGTACATGGGCAGATGAACTGATCAGATAGTTCTTAAAGCACAAATGGCCAAGAAGTACATGAGAAAACTACACAACATTGCTGAATGTGGTGGCTCATGCCTGTAATCCCAGCACTCGGGAGGCTGAGGCAGGAGGATCACTGCAAGTTTGAGACCAGCTGGGGCTACAAAGTGAGCTCAAGGCCTGAATTGCAGAGTGAGACTCTGTCTCAAAAAGAGAAAAAACGAACAACAACAACAAAAAAAAAAACAGGAACAAAAACTACACAACATCTTTAGATATTAGGGTAATGAAAGTCAGAACTGTTTTTTTTTTTTCTGGTACCAGGAATTGAACTCACGACCTTGCGCTTGCCAGGCAGGCGCTGTGCCGCTGAGCTAAATCCCCAGCCCCAAAAGTCAGAACTGTTGGGAGCACACCCCAGCCCTGTCAGTGTGACCAACATCAGGAACACAAAAGGCATTAAATGCTGATAGGAACGCAAACTAGTACGTTATCACCATGGACACCAGAATGGGCATTCCTCAAAAACCAAAAAAGAGTTGCCATCTGATCCAACTATGCCACTCCTTGCGTACACCGAAACATTGAAGTCAGCACTTCAGAGGGACAGCTGCACACCCAAGTTTACTGCAGCACCACTGCAGTAAATACACAAGGTAGCGAGCCAGCCTGGGTGCCCATGACCAGAGGGTGAATAAAGAGAATGTGTACCTACACAGTGAAGTATTACTCAGCCATGAAGAATGCAACTTGGGCATTTTAAAGGAAAGGGACGAACCCACAGCCGTCGTGTGGAGCAAAATGTGCCACACTCAGGCAGATGTTGCAGGTCCCCTCACACGTGTAACCCAAGAAGGGTGACAGGAAGGTGTAAGGGAGACTCTGCATAGACAAGGAGGGCGGAAGGGGAGGACAGCGGGGGAAACACTGCAGCCCAATGTTTGTAAAATTGAGAGAGACTAATAATAAAGGAAAAAGAACAATCACATTAAATTCAAAAGAAACGAAGAATGAAATCATGTCACTTGCAGAAACATGGGTGGCACTGGGGATAATCGTGTTAAGCGAAATCAGCCTGCCCAGAAGGACACAGGAAGTGTTTTCCATCTCTAAGAGGGTCATGCAGGCAGAAGGGTGACCTGGAGAGAGGGGCAGGAGACGAGGAGAATGGGGGGGCACCGACGAGGGAGCTACAGGGTGGAAGTGATCAAAGTATGTTACACATGCATCCAAACCTGCCAAAACAAAATCCATTCATCACGTGCACCTCCCCTCTCCTGGCCCCTTCTCACCCTGGGTCTCTAGTGATACATCTTCCGCTCTGTTTGCAGGCAAAAGATAACTGCCAAGAATGAGGAGATTTATGAAAGACAACCTGAGAAGTCCACCTCGGTCACTCTTTATGAGTGTGATTCGGGCATGTTAGAAGACAGTAGCAAGAAAAGAAGAGAATCATAAACAAAACTTTGTTCTCCACAGAGGAGGGTGGGGAACCAGCCCTGCAGGCCTAGCGAAGGCCTGGGACGCTTTCTTGAGAAAACCTTGTGATGAGATGAGTTCTTGGATGGCTCAACTTTTGTCACAGTTGGCTTTCTTTGGAGAGGATGGGACTGTTTGAAATCTCAATTGCACGGCTTCTGCTGACTCTTGGGGAGCTGATGTTCTCTGTGCCTGGAAGCTTTCTTGGGTGGGTACTATTTTCTCTTCTACTTTCGCACATTTGACTAGCAAGAGACTAGAGTCTTTGAAAGCCTTCTTCCTCCTGAATGCTGACCTTGTTTCAGGTTGTAAGTTTTGTCCTTCTGGACATTTAGCTAACAAGACAGATAACGTGTTGATTTTATCCCAGAGTGTTCCCCTCACACTTGTGCCGTATCCCACCTCCCGCTGTTCCCTCACCTGTGATTCAGGAGGAGGAGTCCGATGGTGCTGGCTGTGCTCTGTAAGCCATCAGCAGCGCCAGTGCCCACAGAGCGGGCAGAGCACCTAGCGCAGCGTACCAAGGAAAACAACCACTGACCAGCCTGACCGACGAGCGCAGGGACTTCCAGACCAGGTGGTGGGTGCTGCGCTGCATGAGGTCACAGTTGCCGCCCATTCTGATTTTTCAGAAGACGACATTCTGGTTTTAATGTAGTATCTTTACACTTTTCAAGTGTTCACAACAAATGCGAAAAACACAACAGTGAAAGCCAGTTTGGGTGGCTAAAGTAGAATAGGTCGGGGACCTGGTTGTTTTCCACTTGTGAAATGCATTGGAAAGAAAAAAACAGACAAAAGAACGTCTGAGAACAGGAAAGTGCAATTTTATTCTCTTTCTCTGAAAAGCTCTTAGCACCTGCAGACACCTGCGAAAGGACAGAAAGCAGACAGAAGCGCACCCAGGAGCAGCAGAACCAGACCTGCAGCCACAGCAGCAGGCCGACGCGGTGCGATCAGTGGAACTGCTTGGGTTTTAAAGCTTTTGTGGGAGGAATCCATGCCTTCGAACCTCACACTCCCAAATTACATAATAGTGTGGCGGAGTTCGCTTGGCACCCAGAAGGCTCGATCCCCAGCAAAGCAGGAAGAAAAGTAGTGTAGAGGATGGCTGGGGAGCAGGGCGCTGGTGTTCTGCAGGGGGTAACTGCTGATGGGTGCTTCTTCGCCCCAGTGAAGCACAAGGCTCCGTTCTCCTCTCCCGCCATCCAGAACAGGTACACACAGCAAGTGCTTAGCCTTTCGTGAAGCCCCGTGTTCAGCAGCTGGACCAGGCCATCAGTCGGTGGGGAAGAACAGCTTTTTCCTCAGTGAGAAGGTCGGCTGGGGCATCTGTTTCCTCATGTTCCTCTGGTCGATCTTTCTGCCCACGTTAAAGTTCACTTCCGTCAGGATGGTGAGAATATCATCACCTCTGCAAAACAGAGTGTAATGTTGTGACGCTCTGCAGGAGGTGGAACCGCCCGCTGTCCCCTCCACCATGCCCCCCAGAGCCCTGCCCTCGCAGCACCAGGCTTTGGAGGCCATGGTGGCCAACCAAGACCTACTTGCCTTTGGTTTGCTGGGGACGCCTCCTGACCATCAGAAACCTCAGATCCCTCCCAACCTGCGGGCTCTCACTCTGCCTCATCTGCTGCGTCCCTGGCCCCCTCAAGTCCCTCCTCTGCGTGAAGTCGACATTGCTCTGTGCTTGCGTCTGCAGAGTAATCAAACTTCAGGCAGCTGAAGGCCATGCGTCTCCTGCAGCCACCTCCAGCCCTCGGTGCCAGGCTGCCTCCGCATGGCCAGGGGACAGCCGGGCGGCTTCATCTCCTTTGTGCAGCAGTCTCCTCATCTGTACAGCTAACCCCAGGAGCAGGCAGCACCCTGCCTGAGTTACAAGATGCAAACACACACTCCTGTCATGGCTCACTCTTCTCAAGCCGTGGAAATTCTCCCTCTTCACACACTCAAAACATAATGAGAAATCTGGCCAGAAGGAACCTGCTGTGAGGGTTCTGTGTGTGCCGGTGGATGCGCTGTGACATTTAAACCCTAATTTACCTAACGGAAGCCTGTGATTAGTAAATAAGGGAGGACACTTTCCCACACTCCGTGTCTTCAAAGCAGGTCCACTTAGGGGAGGCATGGAGGCTCTTTCTCCTTCCTACCTACGTCTCACGATGCACCAACAGGTCTGAGGTTGGCAGGCTGCTCCAGGGCCACTGACAGCGTGGAGCCTGTGAAGCACTACCTCGGGCTCCTGCCTTCCCGGAGATTTGTGGCCTCTGCCTGGAGGCTGCAAGCGGGGCTCTTGCGGTCATCCTGCCCAGCTCTGGGAGGCCCCGCTGTCCTCGCACAGCAACCCCCCAGGAGGAATGTCCGCTTTCCCTCTGTGGCCGGAACCCACTAACACTCGCCAGCCCCCCCCCCACCAGACCCGGGAAGTGCAGCTGCGTGAGCCACGCTGGACACCCACACAAGGGCAGCCGCGCCCCTCGGGCCAGCTCTGACCGGCAGACGGCCTCAGCCTGAGAGCCCCGTCCAGTGGGCTCTGGACAGCAGCCTGGGGCGGGGAGGGGGAGCCAGGTGACAAGCGGAGGAGAGGAGAAGGCCAAACTCACTGAGGACATCTCCTTCTCAGGCTCTCACACAGTGTCTGGATGTACCAGCTGCCCTTCCTGGAGTCTCGGTAGGAAACATAGCTGTCCACAGTGGCCATCCCCAGCAGGAAGTCACCCTCATCCGGGATGGTCATCGGGGGACACGAAATGTCCTCTTCTAGACAGGCTTTGTTCTCATCCGAGTCGGTCTCCACAGCGATAGCTTTCTGGTAGTTCTCCCCTTGACAAGCCTGAATAAAAAACACTTTGGGTTTTCCGGCAAGGGAGGGGCACTTGGAACCAATGAAGTAAGAGGTCAGCTCGGAGATGGGCACCTCCTGCCCATCTGTGCCGTAGATGGTGCCCCTGTTCCCGTGGGACAGGACGCAGCAGACGAAGCAGTCCCGGTTGCTGTGGTCTGTGCGTTGGTAGTACTGCAGCTTGTCGCAGATCTGCTGCGCTGTGAAATCCCTCCAGTGCACCGTCTCGAAGTGCAGTTCAGTGAAGGTCCCATCTAAAGTCGCTGAAAAGTGAAGGAAATCAGGAAGATAGCACTCCCACACCACAGCTGAGAGCTGGAAACAGGGCTGGCATCAGTGGGGAAGAATATGAACGAGAGATTAAAGAACAAGACATTCTATATCAGTAGCTGGATTCTGCATGCGTCTGTGTTTATTGTCACCAGCTGAAACCATCCCCAAGTCCTGATTCAAAGGGGAACAGACAGTGTGCTATGGTTGGCCTGCTGCCTTTCTGAACTTCTTACAAGATGCATGAGCTATTATTTAGGTTTACTACCCAGCCAAATCGAAAGATGACTGTATTCCTTACATAATCAGAAGAAACAAAAATAATTTTTCAATACAAAAACTATGTTTATGCTGAAACTTCTCAAATTATTTATATTTATCAAAATAAAAGATATCAATAAAATTAAAAAGACCTACCGGAAAAATTACCCTCTTTCTATATCTCTATTACTCAGTTGTACCCTATAAAAGCAACTGCTTTCAGCTTAACTGCTTTTCTTGGGTTTTTTTTTTTTTCTTTTCTTTTCTTTTTCTTTTGTCTTTTTGGGACAGGATCTCACTGTGCAGTTCAGGCTGGCCTTGAGCTCACTTTGTAGCCCAGGCTGGTCTCAAACTCGCAAGGATCCTCCTGCCTCAGCCTCCCGAGTGCTGGGATTACAGGTGTGCGACACCATGCCCGGCTTTTTGACTTTTTGAGACAATGTCTTGCTATGCAGTTCAGGCTGGCCTTGAGTTCATTTTGTAGCCCAGGCTGGTCTCGAACTTACAACAATCCTCCTGCTTCAGCCTCTTGGGTGCTGGATTGCAGGCGTGCGCCGCCACGCCCAGCTTCATTTTTATTTTGAAAAGCAACGAACCCTTGTGGGTTCAGAAGAGCTTGGGAAAGCTAACACAGTGTCTCTGTTCTGGGGACGGTTCTGATTGTTTGGAAGGTGGGGCGTGCTGAGGGTGACTGCAGAGCAGCTCAGCAGGGACTCAGCAGAGCGGGGCCTGGGGCTCGCTGCATGCGGAGCAGACTCTCGCCGTGGCCCGAGATCAGAAGGACGGACTCCAGAAATCACATCAAGTCCATTTCATAGGAATTTCCAGCTGTTATGTGAATAGGCATAAAAGGCCTGAAAACATCCCTTCAACACCAAGTGCACGGTAACAACGCCTGCAGTCAATGGTCTAAAGTTCTGTGGCTAAAACCTTAGACTGAATTTGCTTGAATAAAAATCACACAGTGCAGGGAGCACTGCGGTGTCCTGATGGTTAGAATCAGTTTACACTGATTTCCTAAACGTCACTCAATTCTTTAAATGCCATTTGCAAAAGTTCTTTGATCAAATCACAATTCTTAGCACCGTAAAGGCTGGGTTGGATGATTTATTACCTTAGTTACAGTCATTTTTTATATTCCCACACCACAAATTACTTTTTCATCTAATCTGTAATTCTCAGTCTTAATTTAGATAGGCTGAGTAAAAGAATTTCTGGCTAGTTTAACACTTGAAAATGCTATTTTTGTTAAGAGCTCACAAGCCGGATGTGGTGGTGCACACCTATAATCCCAGGACTAGGGAAGCTGAGGCAGGAAGATCATTGTGACTTTGAGACCAGCCTGTGCTACAAAGTGAACTCAAGGCCAGCCTGAACTGCATAGTGAGACCCTGTTTCAAAAAGACAAAAAAAAAGAGCTCATGATCTGTGCAGCACTCAGTAGCACAAGTTCACAAAAGCCACTGCAATGCCCGCCACGTGGCATGGATGCCCAGCTGCAGGGCTCTCCTCCTCGTGTGCTCTGTGGGGCATTGTGTGTGTAGCTGAGTTAAAATTAAAGTTCACTGCCGCTCTTCACTGTGAGCCTTTAGTAAGGTTTGGTATTTTGTCACCACATTGTTTTGACAATTAAATTAAAAACTAATTTGAAACAAAAGCGGAACATTAACAAGTATGTGGGAATGTCCTGCATCTCCTCAAGGAAATATGTTCAAATCTGTTTTCTTGAAACATGTACCCTTTTGCTATAGCTTTTTTCTCCCTCTTTAGATAAACAGATGTAAGAAATATCTCACTTCTCTGGGCTGTATTATACCTGCATCGAAGTCTGTTCCATTCCTGTCCTTCATCTTGCAGAGTTTGGGTATACTCTCCCGTGCCTCACTGAAATCATAGTTATTGAAGATCAAACAGTACCCCCGTGGCTTGCTTTTCATTTGGTAAACTTTGTCCAGTGTCTGCAAAACAAAACCCAAGCCAGGAGCTTACTGCGCAGGTGCAGCCTGGGAGGTGTGGACAGCAATCTCCCTGGAAGCGGCTGGGCATGGCCTGGCAGGCTGGCCTCGTCGAACTCTCAGGCTGCATGGTGGGGAGAGGCGCTGCTCCACCGTGCCCCTCAGGACCCGGCACGCTGAACACGGTGTGTCACTGTCACCCCGCAGGCCAGCGTCCCTCACTTGCACAAGAGCTTCAGGGAGGTGAGGGCTCAGGTAAAGTTCCCAGGCCCACTGCGAGGTCCCAGGACCACACGGCGGGACCTGACATGAGGTGTCCTGCTGTGTCTCCTAGGGCTGCTTCACTGCAGGGATCTCAGCACTCGGCCGAGGTGTGTGCAGCCCAGCGAGGTGCAGAAAGGGACTCGAGGGCAGAAGCCAGGTTCCTGGCCTGCAGGTTCTGGGCAGGTTACCTAAGCTTCATATCTCAGTGTGCTTACTAAGGCTCAAGTATTCCCTCTCTCTCTCTCTCTCTCTCTCTCTCTCTCTC